GCGGGACGCTGATGTATATGTTAAAGGGGCAATTTGAGCACCTATGGAAATGTCTAGAGTGCCGTGAAGATAACCTAAATCATAACTTCTAACTCTGAACTCAAATGCCCTTTCAGCTCTCAAGTCATAGGCTGGCGCTGGCGATATGATGTGCACTTCATAATATAAAATCATATTAAGACTGGACTTTTATGTGCACCTAAAGGGTTTTGATAAAACTGTCGCAAAATTAAGGCGACAGTGACGTCAGTAAAGCTAAACATCGTACACAGCAATATTTTTACTCATTGTGCTTATTACAAAAGGGACGCAATTCATGAGAAATGCTATCGCTGGAAAAAAAAGGGCACTACTCCTCTCTCTCTCTCTCTCTCTCTCTCTCTCTCTCTCTCTCTCTCTCTATATATATATATATAATATATATATATATATATATATATATATATATATATATATATATATGTGTGTGTGTGTGTGTGTATGTTCGAAAGGATTTGCGGGGGGGGGGGGGGGGGGGGGGGGGGTTACGTGTGTGTGCGAGTTTGTATTCAATGGTACACACAAAAAAGCCCCCCCCCCCCCCCCCCCCCCCCCCCCTTTTTTTTTTGGGGCAAATGTTTCAACTAGTGCTGTCATAGATACATTTTTTTTTTTTTTTTTGCTATGTCAAAAGTTGTCCCCATGTGGATGCACTATTTTTTTTTTTTAAACCCCACCCTGGCTTGTGCCAGGGGCCCTGAATATAGAGCTAAAAGTAGAGGAAAAACTCCAACAGAGGATGAATGTTCTTAGGTCATGATTGGTTGTCATGGTTAATTTTGTTTAGCTTAATGTATTTTAGTGGTAATAAACATGCTTTATAATCCTGATGTGCTGGATTCGATCCCTTTGACATTCGTGAGCAATCTCAACAGTACCCCACAACAAGCGACCCGATGACACAAGGTCATTCAGATATGTCCAACACAAAATGATTTCCAAGACACAAAAATTGTGTCCCAGAGTGGGGTACAAGAACGTTAGTAAGTAACTTTTACCCCACCAGGACATCACACAAGTGATAGACACCCGATGACACAAAGTGCCACCATGCGGATGAGGATCACCGTGGAGAGTTTCCAGAAACCGCGTTCAGCCATTAGACCATATTTATGGCCGGGCTATATTGCAAGAGCCAGAGTAGGGCTTTAAAAAACGAAAAATTGCATCCCACAAGGAGATGACAGGATGAGTAAGAATGTCATTCAATGAAAGCCACACTCAGGCAACTAGTGTATAGAGTTTGGATAGCAAAATTATAACAGGAGTTTTTTATACAACTCATATAGTTAAATTAATAGGAAAAGAAGCTAATAGGTAGACAATATATAGTAACACATGAATAAGTTATATTTTTTCAGCGATCAAATTCATTGACAGTACTTAGCAAACACGATAAATCAACAAAACACAGTTTAATAACTAAAAATTACAGTTACACCATTTTACTTGCCAAAACAAAGGACATTATTTGAAGTCCTGTATTCTGTGATTATGTAGGGCTTTGACCAACTGACGTTTCCAGGCCCGGCTCCGCCAATTTACACACAACGACACATTTCATTCATTCTCCTTTAGGCTCATCAACTTTCCTGAAAGTTCCAGGGGGTTCCTGGTAACTTTTTTGTTCAAAAAGGTTTATGCGTTCTCTTCACCGGTCGGTGATATCGCGTGCTGTATATTCCAGGATGTCAGCGCTTTTAGGGGTCCCAAAACATGCACTACTGGCCCCTACACAAATCCTGCTACGAGAGGGATAAAGCCTACGTCTGACGTAAATAGAAGAGAACACAGAAACCTTTTCGAACAAACAATACATAGAAGACATTCCTAACATAATATAGAATCGTATAAAATCAAACAAAAATTCGAAGCTTTGTCCTTTTTTTTAGCCGCCCGAAGGCCTGCTTTATCAAGGATGGTTCCTCTGCTATCTTATTTTAGTTCCTTTGTGGTGTGCAATTACACCTAAGTTTGTTTCCTCTGTTGCCTAAGTTCACTTCTGGTTTTAGAGAGCCTGGTTCCTGGATGTAACTGGTTGTTCTGTACGCTGGTCGTTGCACTGATCATCTGTGCGAGCACCGAGGCAGCCATCAGTCACACCGTCCCCAGGTAAACAGTCTAGCAAATGAGCGTCTAACACAAGGCCCCCATCAGAGCGATGGTCACAATCTCTTGTTGTGAGCAGCCGTTTCCTAAAAAAAATGTGAACGCCTGAAGGAGCCAAGATATTTTATAGTAGGGTCGGAAGAGGGAAAGATCCTGGTGGGGTAGAAAGTCAGTCTGTCAGTCGAGGAGGGAAAGAGACAGACAGCTTTCTCTGTTTAGAAGAGGTCCCTGGAGCTTGAGCTTCTGATGGGATGAAATTCTATGCAATGGCTGCTTCTCTTGCGTTTTGGACCTGGGTTGATAGCGCGTGGTGAGGTCATAGGCAGAGGTTGGTCTCATTCCCTTATCTGAAATGAAACTGAGATGAATTTTAAACAAATGTGGTGAGGGGGCAGGGGAGATAACAATGTTATTTGCATAGAAGACTTGAATCAACGAGTACTGGTCCCCTTTTTATGCTATGTCCTTAGCTGGCTTGCCTTGGAGCGTCAGTGTGGGGTTTCATTTGTAGTAAAAAAGGACAACTTGGGCTAAAACAGCAGGTGTTGTCATTGTGGTAGATGCCAGCCGCTCATGATGGGTTTAACTTGAAGGAAAAATATAAACCTATGGCAAAAATGTTTGTTGTCATAGAGGAAGTTACTTTACAAAGTTGCTAACTGATCTTGGTATGTCATTCACTGAAGCTCTTTGGTAAGGTCGGCTACTATCTCTGGGACACCGTAAGTCATTCAATGTCTTTCTCCTTCGGGACATCTTTAGTCGCTCACTTTACGCACCAAAACGTTCACTTGGTTTCCTTAGTAAGTCTTCACAGCTGGTCCTCGGTAAGGATGTGTTGTTCCCTCTACTTTCCATGCGGAGGAAATATTCCGGAGGGCTAAGTTTTAGGTTTTCCCCTATTTTCCATTTGGATGGGCTATTGATCAGAGAGCAAAGAAACCTCAGAAGTATCGCAGAAATTTTAACCTCTTATACTACTCAAGGACTAGCATGTGATTCCAAACTTTAAAAAAAGAGTAAAGGTTTGTGTCAAACTTATCATCAAAATTATGGGAAAACATGATTTCATAAGCTCTATTGTAAGCACTTTTCACATATCTTTGGAGCAAGCAAATTTGATGTCCATTAACTTATTCTGGCGATAGCTGGTGCAGTTACATTCAATAGAAAAGAAGGAGGCATTAACATCTAAGGAATACAAAAAAATTTCCCACATAGAATGACCTTGGAGTGATTACTGCATCGGATTACTGAGCATGCATGGGAATGTCCAACGTGCAGTGACGCTTGCTGTGATAGCATAGCATAAGATTACATGCTTGGGTGCTTTCTTAATATCCTACCCCAAACAGGGGCCATAAACAGTTCACGTTACAGTCTATCGTTTCAGGGACTGGTAGATAGGCTGTATGCAGTAATGGGACCTAGGCTGCACTCTCTCGTGGGACGAAGGGGGTTGGGGTTAGGGCCAGGTCTATAAATTCACGAAAGTGTTAATTTAAAAGTAGACTATGGAAACTAGTAAACACCATAACAGTTTAAATGTCTGTTACAAAAAAAAAAAAAAAAAAAAAAAAAAACTCAACAGAGGGCTAAAACCGTTGATGGGGTGTAGGCAGAAAATTCATACATACTTATAGGGTATGATGCTACACAGACATCACTGTCATCACAACAACACATCAACAAGCCAAACAGACCAAGACAAACAACAAAATATCACACACCAGCAGTAAATATATAATGTCAAATAAAGAAATAGTAGACATTGAAAGAAAACAATGAGTGCTGTAATTACTAAGACATTACATGGAAAAGGGTTGAATGACATGACAAATGAAAGATTCGCCGGACAGGGCTCTAAGGCCGAAAAAGCAGTCCAAAATAAAAGGCGGTGAGCGTGGAAAGGGCAAGGCAGCAGCAAATGGCTATCGACCCGTCAGTTTTTAGATGTATATGAAATGTATAAAGAGCATTATCAACAACAGGATAATGTGGCATCTGGGAGAAAAAAAATCTTTGTTACACAGCAAGGAATATAATAAATAAGGAAATGTGGACAGAGAAGAATATCTATGTAAACAGTCTCATTTATGTGGAACATGTACATGTTCCACTGGAAAGGAACATCTGGAACAAATGCAGGGTGACAAATGAGCAGGTCAGCAACTGGAGGGTGTTGGAGCGAGCTGTCCTTCTGCCAAAGACTTCGTAGCTGTGACGATAATTCAAAACGAGCCGATATTCATACTGCTCTGAAACCATTAATGTTGGAACTCTATATGCTGAAGATGGGGTCGGGGGCTTATGGAAATGTATCCAAACTAACTTTGGTTTCAGCTCAACTCTAGACGTCTACCTCAAGAGGTGGTTCTGCTACTGACTGTGTTTCTAGCAAATATAAGTGATAATACTGACATGTTTAAGCTCACGTACGCGCCTCCTGCTTTTGAAACAACGAAGCGGGCCATGCGTTCCTATCAACGGTATTACAATTCAGCAAGTTTAGGATGGCAATGTTGATGTTGATGATGAAATGATTAGTAGTTAAAAACATAGTTGACCCATAGTATACGAAAATATGTGAATTCCATGTATATATATATATATATATATATATATATATATATATATATATATATATATATATATATATAGGTGTGAGTACTACAGTATGACAGCGTAATAATATAAAACGAAGAGGACAACGTAGCAAATTAAAGGGGGAGGGGGGCACTGAGAGGGAGAAGGGGCGGGGGGGGGATGCTGTAGAAACAAGTTTGCACTGTTGCAAATAGCAGACTTTCATACAACGTGTCATTAAGATAAACATTTCCTCTACTCCGCAGCTCCTTTCTTCTGTTCCCAGAGGTTTGTTCTGGTGTTTATGGCCTTCCTTGGAAACCTGTTTGTGTACACGCTGAGAGTGAACCTCTCTGTGGCCATCATGTGCATGGTGCGCAGCGACGAGGCCCAGTCCAACCTGACACTGTTGGCCAATGTCACAGCTGCCAATATCAGCAGCAGTTCTTGCGGCGAGAGCGCTGGTGATCGGGCTCGATTAGTTTCTAATGAGGTGATGGTTTGTCATGTGTGCACACATAGAGTTTCAGCTGTTACATTATTACAAATATAGAATGTGTATAAATCATGTCTTCTTCTTCTTCTTCTTCTTCTTCTTCTTCTTCTTCTTCTTCTTCTTCTTCATCTTCTTCTTCTTCTTCTTCTTCTTCTTCTTTTTCTTCTTCTTCTTCTTCTTCTTCTTCTTCTTCTTCTTCTTCTTCTTCTTCTTCTTCTTCTTCTTCTTCTTCTTCTTCTTCTTCTTCTTCTTCTTCTTCTTCTTCTTCTTCTTCTTCTTCTTCTTCTTCTTCTTCTTCTTCCTCTTCTTCCTCTTCTACTTCTTCCTCTTCTTCCTCTTCTTCCTCTTCTACTTCTTCTTCTTCTTCTTCTTCTTCTTCTTCTTCTTCTTCTTCTTCTTCTTCTTCTTCTTCTTCTTCTTCTTCTTCTTCTTCTTCTTCTTCTTCTTCTTCTTCTTCTTCTTCTTCTTCTTCTTCTTTTTCTTTTTTTTTCTTCATCTTCTTTTACATCTCTTCTTCTTCTTCATCTTTTGTCGTCTCACGGATACCAGGTTGTAGCCCATTGTCGTGGTTTTCTGTATTTTTATAACGCTTCTCAGGTTTCTCAGGTGATTTATTTGTTCATATTTTTGCAGGTTTCTGGTACACCATTCGTCTATTTCTGTCTCGGTCGTCGTCTCGCCTACCTTCCAGATGTTCTGTTGTAAAATGTCTCAAATGCACTTTGGTCTGGCTGCATTCTCACTAAATGAACCATTTAATTCTTTGTCTTTCAATATAATCCAGACATGGTCTTATTTTCACTTTCTCCAAAATGCTGATATTCATAACCTTGTCTTGTATAGTGTTGTTAGTTATCTTGAATAGACAACTCATTTCCCAAGTAGTTCTAGTGTCCTATTCATTGTCAAAGATTGGCACCGACAACGTAAAGTCCGAATACAGATGCTATTGATTATTTTCTGTTTTGCTGGAAGACATTTGGGTGTCTAATCTGTGGTACTTGACTGGTACTTGACAGCACTTGCCTTTTGTACTATGGCTTCTATCTCTCAATCGAGTCCGCCATCCTCTATAAATATACTTCCTAATTATTTGAATTCTCGTACTTGTTTGATTGTGGCACCGTTAACATGATAGTATGTCTCCTGCCATTCCTCATTGCCTCAGATTTGGCGGTGTTTATTCTCAAAATATACTTTTTTTGTTTTTGTTAGGAGTCAATATGGTGATGGTATAGATTCTAGTCAACAAAGCTGTAGATATTGTCATAGATGGAAGAAGCATTTTTATTGGAATACCATCTATTCCTGATGCCTTGTTTATTTTGTTATGTTTAAGAGCATTTTCAACTTTTGGTTCATTGCCTTTCGCAGATTTATTCTGTATAGTTTTTCATCCGGTGTTTCACAGTTTGATAGCTCATTGACATATTCTTGCCATGTGTTTTGAATTTCTTGACTGCCGGTGAGTGGTTTCTTACTCCTGCTGTTAACAGTAGTGGATGGGGGTTTTTTTTTTTTTTTTTCTAATCTCAGTCCGACTGCTTTGACACTCAGCGCCATTCTCCTCAGACCGTAATGATCCATCTGTGCCTCCACACTTTTCACCAGCTTCCAAAATGTCACACAAAATATCTAACTTGTCATAAATCAATTCACCACTAAGTGGTGCACAGCCAGCCTGTCTGTCTGCCTGCTCATTTCTCAATACACCGCTATACCTGAAGAAAATATTCAAAGGATGCTAACTACCATGAACCTCTGAGGCGATGCTTGCCATTCTGCACCAGCATGCATGTCTCCACCTTTCTCAACATTTTCTGTGAGTCAGTTACAATCACGGCATGTGTGTATAGCTGATTCTCAAGCCAGCATAAGGCAGAAGTGTAAGTGTGTGTATGAGTATAAGTTTTCTTTCTTAACTGAGTGTTTAATTTTCTTAATTTCTGTATTAACTTTTTTCCTCTCCTCCTTTCTCTTTGACTTTTTCATTGGAGCAGACCTTTGAAAGTACTGTGTGAAACTATATGCCTTATCATGATAACTAACTGCTACTGAAGGTGCCTGAATTGTAGGAATCTTTTCTTTTCTTTTGTCTCCTTTAGTAGCATTAATCTGACTCCATACCCAAATCGCTGTTGTGTTTGGTTTCCATTTTTCACATAATTTCCTCCAGTGAGCCTCTTTGGCTTTCTTATATATTTTATTTATTGCATTCCTCTTGGCAGTGTACGCGTCCCAATTTTCTTTGCTTCTAAGTTTTCCATATTTCCGAAGCACTCATTTGTCTCTTGCCACAGTACATTCTTGAGGCTACCACGCTACGGGGTTCTTTTCTACGTTTGTTTTGGTTTATATTTGAGTTCTTTTTCTTCCTTCCAGAATATGGACGGAAATATTTTGGTTTAAGATATTTCTCACTGCTATATTTAATATGGTATTAGTATTCTTTCAGCAAAAGTTTATTAAATTGTGTTAAAAATCTGTAGATGTTCTGGTTTGCATGCTATTTCTACACATATGCCTTTAAATTTATTGGTATTAAATTAATCCTGGGCTATTTCTTTTCTTCCTTTACTGATGAGAATGGCTAAAACATCTCCTTTACCTGTCTTATTATTATTTCTGTAACTTTTATACCGTGTGTATTTAAAGGTAACATTTGGTTTTTGATGTGTTTCTTGCAGGACTAAGTTATTACTTTCGCCCTGTAGATCTTTCATCATTGCTTTTAAGTTATGTTTGGCTTCTCTGCAGTTAAACTGAACTGTCTGCAGTTCTAATTTTTTATTACGATATGATTAAATTCTAATTATTTTATGTGCCTGGTTTAGCTGTGTTTATTAGCTCTGTTAATTAGTTTGTTAGTTGAACAATGACAAATAACATTTAATATCTATGACCTGATGAGCGGGGGTAAGAGTGACTGCGTTGGGACAGAGTGTGGGGGTTGGGATGCTGGCACTTGGGGTAAGAACGGGAGTGGTACAGGATGCGCTGGGACGGAGAGTGCGGTTGGAGAGGCTGGTGCAGAGGGTAAGAGCGGGCGTTGTATGGGATGGAGGGAGGGTCACGCTGGTGGGGGGGGGGGGGGGTAAAGTCGATAGAGGCGTGGGCCATTGTCATAATTTAGGGCTGTGGAAGGTTGGTGAAGGCGTGGTCCACGGGCGTCAGGTAGGATAGCGGAAGGTCAGGTAGGTGGCCTGGAAGGGTCTGACGTGGGTCGAGAAGGGTATAGCTGGAGGTCCCTGATGATGGGTAAATTTTGATACGTTAGGTTAGGTGGGAGGAACGTTGGAAAATCTGTTGATGTCTTTACCTCCATCCTCCTTCCTCGTAGTCCCTGTAACATGTGTCTTTCTTTGGCCACTCATTGCGTCACTGTTCTTAAAAAAATTATGTCAGCTCCATAACTTCTTTTCTCTACCTTTTATCAGTTTTAGGTGTTGCCTCAGTGCCCGTGGTCTCTTTTGGGTCCTGTTATACTGTTGTTAGGTCTCTGTAGTCTTTGGTTGTCTGTTCTGTTCTGTCAGTCTCCTTATTTAGTTCCCCAGTTTTTCCACTTCTTTCCTCTAGTTGTTCATTTCCTTTTCCATTCTAGACATGGCCAATGAGACACCTTTTTTTGGGGTGCCTAGTTGACCATGTATCTTAGTGCACTTGTATTCATGGCGAGGCGCAGACGCCGTCTGGAGGTGACAGGTTCAATTCCCGGCACGGTAACTATAGCTTTCGATTTTTATGTTGTCTAGTGTGTTCTTCATCTTCTATCTTTCTATGAGTGCCGTTCACAATACTTTCTGTTACTTGATTAATTCATAATATTTAACGGCCTGAAATTGTTCCCCCCTTTGTTTATCTATAGGAATGACGTATACACACCGGAACCTACCAATCAAATACCTTTCTTAAATGTTTGTGTATTCTAGACAAGGCAATAAGGTCTACTGTTTTCGTAAATTGTTTCTGTGATTGTTATTCGACATTTGCTTCGTTAATATAAATTTATGTAACCTATGGGTTGAAATGAATTCTGTCCGTATTCCATAGTCGTGGATTTCAAGCTGTACGATAGACATGGCCAATGAGACACCTTTTTGGGGGGTGCCTAGTTGACCATGTATCTTAGTGCACTTGTATTCATGGCGAGGCGCAGACGCCGTCTGGAGGTGACAGGTTCAATTCCCGGCACGATAACTATAGCTTTCGATTTGTATGTTGTCTAGTGTATTCTTCTATCTTTCTACTTTTTTCTATGAGTGCCGTTCACAATACTTTCTGTTACTTAATTAATTCTTTTCCATTCTGGAGCGTTCCTCATAACGTCCTGCACTGTCTTCGCCTGTCTATTCCTTTCAATTCAACTGTCCCTAAATAGTGCATATGTTTCCGCTCCTGCAGCGAGCTGTTCCTCGATCGGAATAGACTATGCATGGAACTCACATGCCAGGACCGATATAAGGAATAAAGACAGGGAGGCCGGCACACGGATCGGCCTCCAGCTGTGACCGTGGCATGTGAACGGGCAGTTGAGCATTGAGGTGGGAGGGAGGCTAAACCAGCAGGTTGGGGTGTGGTAGAGAGGGATGGGGTGGGTGGCATGTCAGTACAGGTCATAGGAGGGGTGGGTGCTGCAGGGGGAGGGTGAGACTGTGTGGGTGCGGGACTGATGGCCTCTTGGTTATTCTGTCCAGCATGTCATGTTTCCGTATCCTTTTTCTCTGATCTCTCCTTGTTTTGATCTGATTCGCTGTTGCAGCTCACCATCTGTTTTGGTCCAGTTCCTGGTGGCCTTAGTTGCAATGTCCCTCTGTTGCTGTCTCCATTTAACCATGGCCACTGATGTCTGAATTATCATAGCCTTCATCCAGATACCAATTGCCTTCTTCCTCTCAGGAATCCTAGATATCTGGCACTATGGTTTCCTTTTCAGTTCACACATAGTCTCTCAGGGGTCCTCTCCTTATATTGAGTGTCGTCTTTTGTCTTGTTAAAGTCTTTTACCCAGAGTTTGCCCCCGCACTATGTATTTTTCCCTTCGACCAAATACTGCTGACTTATATCTGGTTGCTTTAATGTTGAAATGTCTATCTGAGATTCCCTTGATTCTTTTTTGGCCAAAACTCTTAAGTCTCATGTGCACTTTTATAACACCGGAGTCGTGATCCGAGTTTATGTCGCAACCAGGATGTGATCTGTAATTCACCAAACAGTTTTTGAAATATGTTTCTAATCATAATATAATTAATTTAGTTACTACTTTCATCGTCAGGACTTTTCCGTGTATATAGTTTCCTAGGTGAATGTTGAAAGAGAGTTTTATAAATAATGAGCTGGTTCTCCTCATAGAGCTGTATCAGCCCATCACTTCTTTCATTCCGGTTTCCAATGCCATATGTCCCTACAATTAGCTTGTGTTTTATTTTTCGTGTTTTTGCATTGATTTCTCTAATGTCTAATAAAAAATCTCATTGTTTTACTTTTTTTCATTTTTTTTTTTTCGGTAGTTCTTCGTAGTATTCTTCTAGCTGTTCATCATTACAGTCTGTTGTTATTACATAAGTCTATTATATTGCTATATTAAAAGGTTATGCTTTCATTTCACTTTTTTATCATTCTATATTTATGTGCGCAGAATCCACTAATGTTCTTCTCCATATAACCTCTTACTAGAAATAAGAACCTTTAAGAGCCGACTATGTACCGTCAGCTTGAATATCGAGAGGCTTATTTTTGGCAAGTTCCTTCGGCGAGTAGAGTTAAAAACAAAACTTTCGCATAGAAGACGCCAAACATTACACATGTATTCAATCAGCAACTACTGGTAAGAAAGGTTGGTTATGACTAGATGTGATGTGCGGCGGCTTCCTGAGAGGCGTAGGTTCCCGTTGAAGTGGGAAATCAGGCGTGTTTGGGTGAGTCTTCAGCAGGAGTCTTAGTATTTTGCACACTTTCTTATCTGTTGATCAAGTGTGTGTGTCAATACAACAATGGAACTTATCTCATAGCGTTCATTGTTCAACTGCGTTTGGAAGCATTGGAGTTCCTACTGTTCTACCCCACTTGGCTGGTGGCATTGTATTCTTTGTCAAGATGTATGCATTGGTACCGGATTTCACATTTCAACGGGATTCTACGCCTCTCAGCAAGCCGCCGCACATCACACTAGACTGACATCTAACTACTAACAGTGCACCAGTAAGGAGAATCAGATCGGCACAGACAAGAGAGAACATCGAGACTGGAAAGTATTCTAATCATTCATTTGAATTTTTTTAAAGTTCTAGGGCTGAATTTTTATTCCCAGGAAAGTAGGCACATTTAAAAAGCTAACAGTAATTTGCAGATGTTTATGACAAAGTGAAGTCGGTATGTCTCTAATATGTAATAGGAAAATATTTGTAAAAATCGTTTACAAATACTGATCCTGGAGCCACGAACGCATTAAATTGTAAGCAACCTACAGACAGTTCCACGGCTTTACTATATCTGCTGATGGTGCTGATACTTATTGTAATGTAAACATGTATGTCCATTGTTGTCTTGTAACATTCCAGCGTGCTGAGTTTGACTGGGATAAGCGCACTAGATCCGAGCTATTGGCCATGTACTTTTACGGATACATCTTCTCGCAAATACCAGGTAAGTTAACTCAGTGACTGCACCATGTGAGCTGCCATAAGAGATAAGTGCTTCCACAAGTTTGTGTGAGATGACATCATACATAAGTGTTTGTACTTGTTTGGGTGAGCTGACATCAGAGATAACTAACTGCTTGCACAAGTTTGTGTGAGATGACATCATACATAAGAGTTTGTACATGTTAGTGTGAGCTGCCATAAGAGATAACTGCTTGCAAAAGTTTGTGTGAGATGACATCATAATAAGTGTTTGTACATGTTTGTGTGAGCTGTCATCAGAGATAAGTGCTTGAACAAGTTTGTATGAGATGACATCATACATAAGTGTTTGTACATGTTTGTGTGAGCTGACATCAGGGATTAGTGCTCGCAAATGTTTGTGTGAGTTGGCATCAGAGATAGGAGTTTGCACTTATTTGTGTGAATTAGCGTCGTGGTTGCTTGCACCTGTGTTTGTGTTAAATTCACCAAGGAGACATTTTTAAAAGTGTGATTGTATTGATTTTCCCCTACGTCACTTTACACAGTGACGTAACGTAACGTAATTTTTCTAACTCAAAAAGTTGTGTGTGAGAAAACAGGTACTGGATGAAACAAAAAGTTGTGTGTGAGAAAACAGGTACTGGATGAAACAAAATGTTGTGTGTGAGAAAACAGGTACTGGGTGAAACAAAACGTTAAAGACGTTAAACGAAGCAACGTTGTGTCTTTTCAGAAAAATGTGTTTAAAAAAAACATGAACACTGGAGGAGCTTAAGCAGAAATATATAGAGTTGCATATGTTACATGTAAGGAAAGACAAGTACGTTGTTGGGTCCTGTCAGCAGAAATAATGGAAGATACAAAGCAGCCTTACCTAGGAAAATACTAGGCAAGAGAGGCAGAAAGTGAAAGCAAAAATGTGAATGGGAGACTTGTTGGCGGTGTCTGAGTAAAGGCCCGCAAGCTCAACAGTCATGTCCTATAAGCCATGAGTACGCCCATGTTTTGATCAGCCCTCTTGACTAAACATATCTTGTTTTGAACAGCACACAATATCAAGCCGTGATAAATGTCTAAATTAATTAGTTCACAAATTTAATTCTTCAATCTTGTTTAACACACATAACATGCAGCATGTTAATTCATAGGGGCCGCGTTAGTGCAGTCGATAGAAAACTCGCTTTCAAATCCAGCTGCAACTCGCTGCAGCCCACGGTCGGTGTTCGAAATCGGGCGGTTCCTGAGGTTTACCCAGCCTCTAGGAAATGGATACCAGCGGACAGTTTCTTATTAGCTGTCTGTACTGGTGGCAGAGCACTTATGGTTTATAACCGTGTGCAATGACGCTGGTTCACAACTCCCGACTTTATCTTTTTTTTTTAAATGCAAATAGTCAAAAACCTACTGTTTGTTTTCTCTTGAATCTTTTAGTTTCACTTCTAACACTTGACACATCAAAATTAAACAAAAAACGGTACCTTCAAAACAGCGCCTTCTGCATGCAGTTGCTTCACAACTATATATACTACTTCTAGAAACAATTCTTTCGCCGCTAAAGCAATAATGCACATCAATAAAAATCATCAAGTCATCTATCTATTGTTCTCCTGATTCTATTCAGGCATGGCTGTATGGCATCAGTGGCGTTTAGTCTACTCTGACTAACTACTCCTCCTTCAATGAGTTTTCAGTTATCTTTGTAGTTTATTCTAACTCCCTTTGCCGTTCAGATAACATTAAATTGTATCTATTTCCTCGTCCTGTCTAACGTCAGTCAAGTCTAACCAACGCTGGCCTGATTACAGCGCCAAGAACAACTCTACAAACCCTGCAAGCACATACATATCTTCCCGTTGATATCTTTCTGATAACCAACAACTCAGACGTCCCTGGGAAGTCTATTTACATATATCCTGCTAACTTATTGTCTGTTCCTGTATTTCTCTTGATTCAGCTTATGACATGTGATTGTGCTTTTTTATATGCGGTCAAGTCACGATAGGTAACAATCAAATTTACATGAGTTTTTCATACACACACAAGGAATGAAGTGTTTCCTGTCCGGCTGGAAATTAATTGTATTCATTGTCTGCGTAGTTGCTCAGTTATGCTGACGGTCTTCTGATCAGTAGGGTATTCTTTTACCACTGTAGAACAACTGGCAGTTTTTACCTGACAATGTCTCTGCAAGAATTATCTAAATATCTCTGGGAGATTGAATAAATATTGAAGTGAAACAATTATTAAACGCACTGGTAGATTTGTCTTAAGTGGCTTTTGTTAGCAATGGCTATATCCCTTGTTAGGAATGGGAATTCGATTCTCTCTGTGTTATGACTTCTACAAAAAAAAAAAAAAAAAAAGGTTCGGTTGAAGCATAGGAGTTATACTTACAACTACTCACAGTTATATTAACTCTATGACAACTCAACAGGATTGGCAACAAATAAATATCAGATAACAAAGAGAGTTTGGCGTCACGGTGACCTCTGGACCACGCTTTCAACAAAGATGTGTTGTGATCAGCACTTACAACTGCTGCACTAAGCCCATGTAACCTAGTGTCTAATGGAAGTTGCAAGTTTCATGATCGCATCCTTATTGTTTTTTTTTTTTTTTTTAATAACTCCTGATGCTTATTTTGATGTGCATTTTTGAAATGAAATTAGTGACATTGCAGCTGAGGAATTTGCTAACCTTCAGTTTCATTTAAAGGAAAACATGTTCTTGTATTTTCGTAGTTTTCTGTGGCTTCTCTGTATTTTTTTTTTTTTTTCACTGCTGTATTCATTTAAGTATTACACCGCAATTAAGTAAACACAGCAGTGAATTCATAAATGATTTTGCATACAACAGCCAATCCATGAATAATTTATATACAACAGGGAATCAAACAATGGTGTGTATACAACTGAGAATCCATAAAGGATTTGAATAGTTTCCTTGCCCTAAATTGCTAGATTTGGTTATTAATATGTTTAATCGTTTAAGCAGGTAGACGAATATAAATGATATTGTGTATCTATGTTCTGAACAAATCAGGTGGTTGGATGGCATCACGATATGGAGG